CTTGCAGCAAAAATAATTTTTGGAAAAAGAATAAATGTAGTGACTTCAATTTAAATCTGAAGAGATATCCACAACAGTGATTTTCCAATATTCATTCCTGCTAAATGGCACACTTCATGTAACTACAGCTTTTGGTATCCTGGTGACTTAATTGTTTGAAGGAGTACTCCTTTATTGTCTTCTCCATCTGACTTACTTTTAAGTGTTATTTGGACAGAGAGGTTTAAACCCGTTGGTTGTGGACAGAACTGTTACCAATCAGCCAAATGTCATGCAACCTTACAGATGACTGGACAAATAACGGCAGTTCCGCTGCAGTTAGAAGTTTTGAAGACACGTTGCCTTCAATAATATTGTCCAGTATCAGTGCTTTTGAAGATTGGCGCTGCACAGATTTGCCAATCTCACAATGGTTATAGTCCTACATTTTATCATCGTTAACCATCTCAGGACATCCCAACATGTTATGTAGCCAATTTGGCGCTTCTAAGCGTAGCAACGGTCGTAATGTAGGAAATGTAGCGGCAAATTTGCACACAGCAAACTTCCTTCCACAGGTAGTAATTTGATAATGACTAAATAATCTCTTCATGGTTTAGGAAGCATTTTATACACCATATTCCAAATAAGGATGCCAGCCCAAAGCATTTGCTATTACTTGTATTTTATTCCTGTTATCACCATAATAGTCGTTAATAGTTTAGTAGTCTAAATTTGTGGATAGTTAGCATGATTATAATCCCCAAGGAACTTATGTTTTTAGTGGTCAACGTTTAGACCAGAATGCGAAAGGCATGTGTTTCAGATGTTGATTAATGGGAGACCAGTAAAATCTTGCATGAGTGTTGAGGATAGTTAAGTTGCAATCTTAGACTGGAACCCTCATCTGGTCAGTTCAGTAGAGCTTCATTGTACTGAGATTGTCCAAGCACTCCTATTTCTTACAGTTTAAGAAAATATAATATAGAAATGGGACTTTTGTTCAGTGGTGATGAAAAATTACAATAATCCTGGTCTTTTCAATTAATAAGTGAACCCAAAACTCTTGCTGTTTACTAAAGGATCTCCTTTCAAAATGTTTATCCTAGTCCAGCTTACTATTTGGTACTTTGGTGACTTGATAAATTAAGCAGTGGAACTTGCAAGAATGCAGTGCTCTCCTCCTTCCATGTGCATTGCAATTTAAGTCAGGATTTAACTTAATTGATACACATCTTTATCATCTAGAATGCATTTAGTTTTGCTGTAGCTTTTCAATTCTAATTATTTTTTAAAAATTCAAAACGCTTTACTGTCCTTAACTGTAACCAGTATTGTTGAATACATATGTAATGTGTATTTTAATGTAAGAGACTGCAGTATAGTGTGTGTTTGCCTTGAGGATGTGGTTTAAAAAAAATCTATGATGCTGCTTGCATCATTTTGAGCAATATGACTAACAATTTAAGAAAATACTATTTACAAAACAAAATCCATGTAAACGAAGCAAGTGCACTCTATTTCAAAATTAACACCAGACCTCTTCTCCTAGTCATGATTGTACACACTTTATTTAGAGTGGCTTTTTTAAGGCAAGAAAGCTTTAGACCTGAAACAGCCAATTGTTCGTGCCTGAATGCTTCCACTATACTTTTTGCATTCCATTAAAGTCTCTGAAAGATTAGACATAATTTTCTTAGTTTCTTTTTATATTATATACATTGAGAAATAAAGCAACAAATGGAAACTGAGCAGAGGATGCAGAAACAGTGTGAGTTGCTAAGCTGACAGAAGAAAATGCCTTTTTAGCGAAGCTCCATCTTGTGTGGTGATGTTTGGATCTTCTGCCAGAGTTTGTACGTTGAATCCAAAATGCTGACTTCAAAAATTTGTACATGATGACACAGGAGAAATACCTAAGTTGTTTTGTTCAAGAAGAATTCTATATTCTTTCCCAAATACACACAGCTTTAAAGGGATATAAATAAAATTATTCAATTCTTTATCAAAATTACTTGTCCAAATTCTAACTTTGAAGCATGCACTGATTCGAATTCTCAATTTCTTAATAAACCCTGGCACTGGGCAATAATGTCTGAATTGACACGGCATAATTGTATTAATACAGCATGCATACAATGCAACTTTACTCTTCTGACAATTTTTTGACAATCTCTGAACCCATGATTACCCTTAGACCCCAAATATTTCCTTCATTTATTTCCTTTTCAATTACAAAATAGTGATTTTCTTATGAGTGTTTTGTTTTGCAAATCATTTTCCCTCTTCTGTCTTCCCTGGGTCTGTCCTATGAGCAGGATCAGTTCTTATACTGTCCCAAGTGTTGATCGTTAAAATGTGACCGTGAGCAATGAATGTCAGAAGCTACTCAGCGTGTCAGGCAGTATCAGTGGAGGAAAAAAAGGTTAATGCTTAAGATCCTAACCTTTTAATCAGAACTTAGCAAAATGACAGCAGATTATTCAGAAAATATAACAGCCTAACAGCTGTGCATACACGTTGGTATACACAATAGGCAGAAGAAACTCTGGCTGATTCTGCCATCACCTTGATCTAACCAATTGTATTAATGCAATCGTAATGCCTGAATCTACTGCCCCTGCTGAGATGGGTTTTCTAACCAAAGGTCAGGAGTCTGAGAGCTTATGATACAAACAGATTAGTAGTATCTTGGGTAACACTCTTTCCTATCATTTCTTCACCACCCAGTTCCCATCAGCTGTCAAAGCTCAAGCCACCCTAGGTTTTTTGTACTTAACAATTTGCTAGTTTGTTCAATTGGCATTTTGAGAGACTTCTTTAGGAAGGGCTTATAGAAGTCAAATCTTTAAACCAGAATAACATGGGTCTTGTAGCAGCGACAATTTGAGGTTTATGTTATTATTTAAATTCTGCAACTAGCCTCCAAGATTCCAGGATATATTTGCAGTTTAAATCTACCAAATGTTTGGATGTTCCTGTATTTGGCCTTTGGGGTAAATACTAGATATATTTCATTAAACAGGTATTACTATGTAAATAGTTTTAAAAGTATGGATTAATTCAACTTTTTACTTATAGCTAATAGGGCGTTTTAATTCTTCATTTTTGTTTTGTTTTATTTGCCACTATGACATCTGATAATTTGCTTCCTGGCATGGGGGAAAATGGTATATTAGTAATGGACTAGCAATCCAGAGACCCAGACTAATGTTCTGGATTCAAAACCTACTGTGGATAAATGGTGGAATTTTGTATGGAATATCAGTAATGTTTGAGTTTTCAGCTAAGGTATCTTAGTGTTGGTGAGAGGCTAAGCTATTTGATACATAGGTGCCAAAAGGCTTATGATAAAGTCTGACATACCAGATTTGTCAGCAAAGCTAAAGCTCATGAAATAAATGGGCAGTATGGATGCCATGTTAATTGAGCAACAAAACAGCAGTGATAAATGGCTGTTTTCTAGACAGGAGGAATACATATTATATATATAACCCATATAGGGTTACCAAAAGGTTGGTGTTAGGACCGTTGCTTTCCTTGATATATATTTATTAACTGGACAGTGGCAGTTTCAAAATGTACAAATAAAACAAATCTTGAAAGTATTGTGAACAATGGGGAAGGTGATATTAACCTTCAAGAGGACATAAGCATGCTGGTGGCATGTGACGACAAGTGACAGATATATTTATGCAGAGAATTGTGGTGCAGTGCATTTTGGAAGGAAGAAGTGGAGGAGCAATACTAAAATAAAGGATGCATTCTCAAAGGAGTATTGCATGTATGTACAATTCTGCAGGAGCAGAAGCACTTTGAGGGTGAATGTGCATAAATCATTGAAGGAGAGGTTAAGGGAGAAGTTACTGAAGCTTGTGGGATCTTGGGCTTTATAAATAAGCACCTAGAGTACAAGAACAAGGAAGTTTTTAGTGACTCTATAAAATTTAAATTTTATAATGTCTGATTTTGGGTGCTTTAGGAAGGACATAAATGTGTTGGAGAGGTTGCAGAAAAAATTCACATGAATGTTTCCAATGATGAGAAATATCTTGCTGGCAAGAAAGAGGAGATTCAGACAAAAATTGGTAAATAAGCTCTCAATTGCCAGGTTTCTAGGCCAATTTAGACCAAAAGGAATGGTTCCCATTGCTGGAAGGATTAAAAACCAGTGGACACTGATTTAAGGTGATTGGCAAATGAAGCAACGTAGCATGACAAAAGCTTCATTAAATAGCAAGTGGTTTCGATCTGGAATGTACTGTCTTGGGACGTGGTTGAGGTAGATTTAAATCAAGACCTTCAGCAGTGAATTGGATAATCATTTGAGAAAATATTTGTAGAGCAGTGGGGAAATGGGAGAGAGAATGAAACTAGTTGACTTAACCTTGTTGAGTACTGAGACACACAGAATGAAATGGCTTCCATGTTACTCTAGTTATATTTTTTGATTTGTAGGATACTAAGCATTTCCAACTAAATTTCTGAACCATGGTATTACTCTGCACCAACAAAACTTTGCCTTTCCAACAGATCTGATCAATTTGTTCTCTTCAGACTCGAATTGTTTCATTTATAAGATAGGTTGAAATCAAAGAATGGAAGCAACCATCTGTCCTGACCTAGCTGAGCTGATATTTATCTTCCAAATTGGTCTCACGTTCCTCCCATGTTGTCATATCTCTTTAGTAACCATCTGATTTAATTCTAATTGTTGTTTGTGCTTCCTGTTCTAAATGTCACAGAAATTCTAATACCTACTCGGCACCGCCACCACTATCCCCCCCCCCCCCCCCCCCCCCCCCAACACCACTACCATCATAATGTCTAATGCCAAATGTCTAGTACTTGCAAAAAAAAATTTGAACATGTTTGTACCAAGTTGCTTTTGTTTTCTTGGTTTATATCTGAAAAAAGGGGCAGATAATGGGCTTTATCACTTTCTATTATCACGCCTACGTTCATTGTTCCAAGGTTTTAAAGTTCAGCCAGTAAGCATTTTTTTTTCTTGCCTTCCCAAGGCATCAGAACCTGTGGATCCTTTCTTTCGTGAAGATGACGATGATGAAGAAGATGATGATGAATCTCGCTCCTGGAGACGATGATGGGATTTAGAACATTCACTCTATCGTCGTGAACTTTTGTGGATTTTTTTGTGTTTAAATATATTTACTAATTTTACAGAAACATTTTTATTGTATTTAAAGAAAAAAAATGGGTTTGCAACATTTTTGTGAAAATGACAAAAAGCTTAGTATTTTGCTTTCAATGCTTTTAGGATATGTGCCCCAAAGGAGGAAAATCACAGAATGTTTCAGGAAATAAAATGGGAGATAGGGAATAACCAGATGTACATTCTGCTTGTAGCAGAGGTTCTTGTATGAATGTATATTAAAATTGTGTAAATACTTTGCCTTTTTTGATGAAAAGAAAGACCATTTAAGCTTGTAAGTAAATTTTTGATAGTCTTTTTTTCCTCCTTTCAAAAAAAGATTAAGTCACCAGAATACATCTTGCAAGGAAAGTGAGCTTGTAGCAAGTATTGAGTTCTACATTTCAAAAGAAGATCTGGTTGGAAAGGCAATAGAGTGGTTGCTATATTATTTGGGGGATTCAATGTAATGCAAATCGTAAGGAACTTCCATGTTTCTCCTCAGTAGTTTTGGTGGGCCAGATAGTGATTTTTTTGGTAAGCATATGAAAAGAGAATGCTGTAGAACCAAGAGACTACTGTTAACCAATATGAAATTTAATTGGATTGAATATAGTAATCGTTGATGAGGTATATAAATGGTAAATGTTTACAAAAGTGAAATGCATTTAAAGCTGCAGTGCCCAACTAATCAAAATTTCGATACTAGACTAAATTTATTAATTTACTATTTATTGAAACCAATTTTTGTTTACAAGTTGAGATTTCTATGCATGCTCATTGCTTAAGTTTTCTATGGTTTCTGTTGACTCTGTTATTGATCTATTTTTACATTTGGTACACTCTGCTGTCATCCTATGACAGTTAAAGTATTAAAATGCTAATGAATACATCACGTTTGATATCCCACTTCTGTGGATTCGTATATTCAACCTCATCTCTTCCCTCGACTCAAAATGTTAATTTTGGTAAAAGAGCAAGATTGCTCTTTATATTTCAGTCATTTAATTAATAGATCAAAGAATATAAGTATTGCTTATATCTGACAATATAGATGCAATGAATGGAAATGTTTCGTATACAGAAGCAATTTTCATTATCAAAGAATCTCTTAATGACCAATCCCTAATTCTATCCTGTGATTCAGTCTAGAAAGTGTAGACATTTAGACATCAGCTAAGGACAGGTTGAACAGACTTCACATATCAAGTTCTATGACAAGTAAGAAAGTACAGTTACTTCTTCCTTATTGTATCTGGGTAAGCAGTAAAGTTGAGTTGCTATGATGAGTTTTACAAGTAAAATAGCTCAGTATGCTCTTATAAGTCATTATCTATCATGTGGAGTACTTCATCCACAATAACAGTCCCAATGCAGATGCACCTAGTAACTCCCAGTCAACATATACCATAATACATTCCTTTGTTTTCTTGCTTCTATAACCTGTTAGTTGCAAAATTGGACCTGCAAATATCTGCATCCAGAGTAAAATATTAAATTCTCATAGATCATCATGGAGGTATACTTTCATGTATTTTTACTTCTAGTAGAGTACCTTGTAAAATGTTGACTGTTTCTAATTTCACTGAATATGATAGGCTTAGAAACAAGTCATTAAGTTTACACAGAATATCTCGGACCCTGTTAATATGCCTGTTGAAGGCAACAAACTGGAGATTACAAATAAATTAATAAACGGAAATACAAAATATCAATGTAAAACACTTCAGGATTTTAATATCCTTAAATAAATATGCACTTAATGAGTACACATTTAACTACATACTAATCTTCATTTTCAATTTGCAAGGAAATGCAGCTTTAAATGAAATATCAACAGAGCTTACTGCAAATATAAAAGACAAAGAAACTGGTGAAATACAGTTATGGAAAACATATAGCTGTATTAAATGTGGACTATTTGCAGTTACCAAAAGAAAATCTTAATTATACCATTTGTACCTTAACTCAGCTCAATGTCATAATGTTTCTGGATTGTGGGAGATTCCAGTGTACGGGGTTAATATCTTTTGGCATCTTGAAAACCCTGAATTTTTAATATCTGTACAGTTTCTTTCATAAAAGAGAGAGCTACTGTTGACTGGAATATTTTAAACGTAGTTTTGATCACTATTTCATAAGAATACATTTAGTTGTGAAGAACTTGAAACAGTGCCATCTTGTGATTGAAAAAAATAACCTACTTACCATTGTTGTTCTACCACAATCCACATCAGATATATATTAAGTAACTTCATAAATCCCTGAAGAAAGCAACCACTTTATGTAGATATTCGTTAATGACAGTAATGGTCTGATAGTAGAATCCTCAATAACATTCATTTAAAAACATTGCAGCACCTTGAAAAACTGTCCTTGGGACACATGCAGTTGCTCCTGTAAGTTTGAAAATGTAATTGGTATACTGTAAATCATATGGCATAGCTGACATAAAAAGTAATCAGATATCGATTAACAATTTTTCCTTCCTCTTTTCATCAGAGTGAATAGTACCAGAGAGTATTTTCAGACAGGAATTTATTTTTGGTATCAGAAAATTGTTTAAATAAATGATGGGAGTAAATGCATGTTTTTATGTTGTACAGTATCATTTGAGCCCCTTGGGACAGTGGTTTATAAATTACTGTACCTACCTTACTGGATGTCATTGCTTGTACACTGTTTATTTTACCATAAGTTAGATAATTCAAGCAACCGTCAATCACTTCCTAATAATTTGTATAAGACACATAATCTGGAATACGAGAGTTCAAGTTTAGCCATCTTAATCCAACTGGGATCAATTTTGGCTGTAACCCTTTGACATGTTAACCGGTAATGCGCCCTGTTGAGTTTGTCATTTAAATTTTTTGTCAACTATTCTGAAGGATTTCTATAACCATTTTTCATACTATTTTTGTTATATTTTATTTTGTGCTGTTTGCTCCTTTGATATTAAGAAGCTATTGTTTATTTGCTTTAAAGTCCTGCATCATTCATTTAGAATGCAGTTGGAAAGCCCGTGAATAGAAGGCTGCAATTGTGTCTCTTCAAATTTTATGTACAGCATTTGCCAGTGTGGAGGGAGGAGGGAAAGAGTGAAGCTGTAGTCTGACGTCATTGCCATGTAATCTTCAAGGGAAATATCTATCTGGATTCAACAAAAAAATTGCATAGTGTGAAAGGAAACTCATTACAGTTTTCTGAAGCTGTTAAAATGGTTATTGTAGATCTTTTTTGTGGGGAAGAACAGTCAGATATTATATGATCTTTTTTCTTTTGTAAGTAAATACTTGTATAATAGAATTTGTTCAGAATTGTGGACATGTAGAACATCAATGTATTTTTAGGTTGTTTATGCTAAAATGTGAATTTAGTGCAAGTTTCTTGCACTCTTCAGTAAAATGTTACTTCTTTGGGTGATATTGTTGCTGAATTTGTAACAGTTTATACGTTCAAATTTATGTCTTTATTTCTGTTTTACTGATTGTATCTGAATTTCTAATAGAGGCATGTTCACATTTGAAATAAAGTCTCGCAGTGGAATGGTTTGAAATATGACATTAAAAGATGCAAATTATACATACATGGATATAGAGGGGAAAAAAATGAAAAAATATTCAAGAGTAATTAAAATGAAAGAAGTTTAAAAGAATGAATTAAAAATGGAAAAAACTTTTGAAAAAAGATTTAAAAAAAATTAGTCATCTTAAAAAAAAAAACCATTCCAAAAAAAAGTAACAAATTTCATAAAAGAGCTACAACCATTTGCACCATTCTCTGTATTTGCTAATTATGTTTTGTTTCAGCTGGAGAGTAGCTTGTTCTTTGCCAGAAACTGTAAGTATAAAATTTGCCATATGAATATGTCCCATAGCCAATTGGATACAAAATTGGCTTGATTGTACAAGACAGAGGGTGGTGGTAGAGGGTTGTTTTTGGACTGGAAGCTAGTGACCAGTAGTGTGCAACAATGATTGGGGCTATGTCCACTGCTTTTCATCATTTATATAAATTCTGTGGATGTGAATCTCGGAAGCATAGTAAGTTTACAGATGACACCAAAATTGGTGCTTTGGTGACAGTGAAGAAGATTATCTCGGAGTACAACAGGACCTTGATCAGATGGGTCAACAGGCCGAGGAGTGTCAGATGGCGTTTAGTTTAGATAAGTGTGAGGTATTGCATTTTGGTAAGGCAAACCAGGCCAGGACTTATACAGTTAATTGTAGGGTCCTGAGAAGTGTTGCCGCACAAAGAGACCTGCGGATGCAGGTGGGTTCCTTGAAAGTGGACTGCAGGTAGACAGGGTGGTGAAGAAGACATTTGGCATGCTTGCCTTCATTGGTCGATGTGTTGGATATGGGAGTTGGGCCATCATGTTGCGGCTAAAAGTGGTGAGGCCACTTTTAGAAAACTACGTTCAGTTCTGGTCTCCCTGCTGTAGGAATAGTTGTGAAACTTGAAAGGGTTCAGAAAAGATTCACAGGGATGTTGCCAGGGTTGGAGGGTTTGACTTGTAGGGAGAGGCTTAATAGGTTGGGCCTTTCTTCCCTGGAGCATTGGAAGCCGAGGGCTGATCTTATAGACGTTCATGAAATTGAGGGGCATGGATAGGGTGAATAGCCAAGGTCCTTTTTCCCCAGAGTGGAGGAGTCCAAAACTAGAGGGCACAGGTTTAAGGTGAGGGGGGAAAGATTTAAAAGGGGCCTAAAGGGCAACATTTTCACGCAGAGTGTGGTGCATGTATAGAATCAGTTGCCAGAGGAGATAGTGGAGGTGGGTACAATTACAACATTTAAAAGGCTTTTGGACAGGTACGTGAACAGGAATGTTTAGAGATATATGAGCCCATGCTGGCAAATGGGACTAGCTCAGTTTAGGAGATCTAGTCCACGTGGACTGAAGGGTCTGTTTCTGTGCAGTATAACTATGACTGTATGTTGAGGCACTAAATTTAGAAATGCTATTGTATATATTCAGAGTGACCTAACATGAAGAAATTGTAGTTAAAGTCCTTGGTTATGAGTTTCTAACTAACTCCAAAAGAAAAGTCCATGAAAACTAACAGTTGAAATTCTGAGGCCAAAAAAATACGTGGCAAGTTTCTTAGCATCTATGAAGAAAAATAATAGAATTTTTTTTTTCCAAATTAATCTTTCATCAGAATCGTGTAACAAGGAGTCTGCTGGAGGTCAACTGGTTAACTGCTCTTTTGTCTCTCAAAATGTAGATATATCTGCTGTGCAATTCCAGCAGTTTGTGGTCTTATTTCAGTTTACCATGGCCTAGTCCATACTAATAAAGCCATCCCACCAGTTGGCAGACTTGCTATTTTTAATCTTTTTTCTGACCTGTCATTATCTTTTGATGTGCTTATTAACTAGGGATCTGTTGTGCTGTTAACATTCAAGAGGAATAGATCTTGTCCCTGTGCAGTTTTATTTTATAGCTAAGTGATTGTTCTGTTTCTGCTTTTATAGGATTAGGCAAAATGATAGGCACCTAACTCTGATCATTAATTGTTTCTGAGCTCTTGATTGTCCTGATCCTATAGTTCATACAACAGATATCTGAGTTCTTGCAGAAGGTTACCAACCTGAAGTATTAACTTATTTTCTCTCTCTCTTCACAGAAGCTGTCAGATCTGATGAGTATTTTCTGTTTTAGTAACTGAATATTTATATTTTTCACTGTTATCCACTGGAGTTTGTTAAATCATCAGGAGATGTAACAAAGTTCTGAATCATCGAAGAATATGTAAGTACTGGATTTTTTTCAATTCAAGAAGTTGATTGTACTTACGAACATAGAATTTACAGGACGAAAGAGGGCATTATGCACCGTTGCCTCTTTTAACGGCACCAGTGATTTATTTTAATTTTATTTCCCTACCTTGTTCCAGAATGTTATTTCCCTTTCAATATTTCATTTTCTTTCAAAATATATCTTGGACATGACCTTCATAGCCTTTTTCTGGTAAAATATTCCACATTTGAAATATTCCTAATAGGAAAAATATAAAACTCCCAAATTACTCCTGTATTCTTCATATGATAACCTCAGTCTTTCTGGATGTTTGAGTTTAGGTAGTTACTTAAGATAGTATCTAGTGTTTGCTTTGTTTGATTCTTACATAGTTAAAATAATTTTATTTTAAACCCTGGAACGGAATCTTGTGGCTCCATTCTTTCAGGAAATAACTGGAGGTGGGAGATGGTGATGTGGTGGTCTTGTTGCTGTACTAGTAATCCAGAGATTAGGTAATGTTTCATAGTTCTGGCTTCACAGCATCCGGTAGAATTTGAATTTTAAAACATCTGGAATTAAAAATCTAATGATCAGGAACATTGGTTTTTATTGCAATCAGTCGAGTTCACTAATGTCCATTAGGGAAGAAAATCAGCCATCCTTACCTGGACTCCAGATACACAGCAATGTGGATGTCGCTTAAGCGCCTAAGCCATGGCAAGCTAGTCAGTTGTATCAAACTGCTTAAAAAGTCTCAAAGAATGTAACCAGATGGACCATCTGGCATCAACCTAGAAGTGGAAATGACCCTCCAGAGCCCTTCCTGCACAAAATTGAAGAACAGTTTCAAGCTGCAGCCTGACACAGTCAAACTCTCAGATTCCTACTTTACAACATCCCAGATACCACCATCAACATCCCTGGTGGAACAGACCCAGCAGAGGTAGTGCACGGTGCTATACAGTTTCTACGGTGTTGCCTTGGGTGCCCTCAACATTGACCTTGTGAAGTCTCTCAGCCTGAGTTGATGAATCGGTGCTCCTCTAATTTGAACACCTTTTGGAAAACTCCCTCAGACTGCTGTGGACACAGAAAGTACTCCGGATCATGATTTCAATATCCATCACCACAAGCGGCTCAGGAGCACCACTACTGACCAAGCTGATGGAGTCCTAAAGGACATAATTGCTAAATTGCATCTCTCTCAGATGGTGAGGACGTTGACAAGATGGGAAACAAACTTGACCTCATCCTCTCCAATTTACCTGTTGCTGATGCATTTGTTCGCAATGCTATCATAAGTTTGACTACTGCTTAGTCCTTCTGAGAGAATACCCTTCGTCGTGGCATTAACATTAAGATAAATTGGATAGGTTTCATACAGATCGAACAACTTCATGACTGCCCAGTATTGAGTTGTATGGGCCATCTGCAGAACTGTATTCAGACACAATATGCAACCTTGTGGCCTAGTATGTCCTCCATTCTACCATGACCATTAAGCCAAGGGTCTAGTCCTAGTTCAAGAGTGCAGGAGGCCATGTTGGAACAGCACCTGCATAACTAAAATTGAGGTATCAGCCTAGCAAAGCTATAACGGAAGACCATTTGTGTGCAAAATAGGCAAGCAACAAGTAGCAGATGGAGCTAAGTGACTTCATAACCAATGGATCAGATCTCATCTCTGCTGTACTGCTAAGTCCAATTTTGAATAGTGGTAGATAATTAAACAACCCCTGATCGAGGAAGCTGCACAAATATCCCCAACTTCATTGATGGAGAGGCCCAGCACCACAATGCAAAAGACAAGACTGAAACATTTGATATAATCTTCAGCCGATGTGCTGAATGGATGATCGGTCTCTGCTTCTTTCTGAGGTCTCCAGTATCTCAGATGCCAGTCTTCAACTAATTTGATTCACTCAATGTGATATCAAGAAACAAGTAATATTTTAAAGTGTATGGGCCCAAAAAAATTCCAGCAATAGTATTGAAGACTTCTTCTCCCAAACTTGCCACATCCCTAGCCAAGCTGTTCCAGTACACCTAAAACACTGACATCTGCCGATGATGTGGAAAATTGCCCAGTTACGTCTTACAACGTTCCTTTTAAGCTGTGTTGCTGTGCAGTCTCTGGCAGGTTTGTTAACTGATGCATTGGCTTCCATCACTACCACACATAGTCCTTGGAGGTCTTCAAAGTAAAATAAAAATGAAGGAGAACATTGACATCTGTTCGCAATAAAAAAGCAGGATAAATCCAACCCAGCCAGTTACTGCCCCATCAGTCTACTCTCAATCATCAGTAAAGTGACGGAAGGTGTCATCGACAGTGCTATCAAGCAGCACCTGCCTGACAGTCACCTCCTCAGTGATGTCTGGTTTGGGTTCTGCCAGGGTGCGTTAACTCCCAACTTCGTTACAGCATTGGTTAAAACATGGACAAAGGAGCTGAATTCCAGAGGTGAGGTTATAGTGACTGCCCTTGACATCAAGAATGCATTTGTTCGACTGTAGCATCAAACAGCCCCAACAAAGCTGGAGTCATTGGGAATCGGGGAGAACTCTGCTGGTTGGAGTAATACTTATAGGCTTCTCGACTCCAAGATGTACAGGAGTTCCTCAAAGGAGTGTCCTAAGCCCATCTATCTTTGGCTGCCTCCACTCCACAACCAACTCCTCTTCTTCTCCCCCCACCCCCAGAGGCAATGTTCACTGATGACTGCACAACGTTCAGCAGCATTCACAAGTCATCTGATTTAAAGTAGTTCATGTCCAAATACAGCAATTCATGGACAGCATCCATGCTTGTGTTGACAAGCAGTATTTAACCTTCCTACCTCACAAGTGCCAGGGAAAGACAATGTGCAACCAAAGAGAATCTAACCATCGACCCTTAACATTCAACCATGGGTAAATCCCTTATCATCAACTTCCTGGGAGGTTACCAATGACCAAACGCTGAACTGGATGAGCCATATAAATACTGTGGCTGCAACAGCAAGACAGAGGCTAGGAATCCTGCAGCCTTCAGGCTCCTGGACCCTGTCCACCCATCCGCAAGGTACAATTCAGGAGTGTGAAGGAATTGCTCCCTATTTGTCTGAATGATTGCATCTCCAATAACACTCAAACAGTTTGTCACCATCCACAACAACGCAGCCCACTTGATTTGGCACCACATCCACCGACATTCGCTGCAGAAATTCACCAAGGCTGATTAAACAGCACCTTCCAAACCTGGGAATATCACCACCAGCAAGTTTCCGTCTGAGCCTCCTGACTTGGAAATCTATTGTTATTACTTCAGTGTCACTGGGTCAAAATCCTGGAACACTGTATTTGCAGGAGTAGGCTATTTGGCCTCTTGAACCTGTTCTGCCATTCAATTGGATCATGGTTGATCTGACTGTGGCTTCAACCCACTTCCCTGCCTACCCCTAAATCCTTTGACTTCCCTGTTGGTCAAGAATTTATGTACCACTACTTTAAAAATATTCATAATTCAACCCTCTCCTGCTCTGTGAGGAGAGAATTCCATAGCCTCACTACCCTTTGGAAGATACAATCATCATCCAGTCCGCTTAAATGGGAGACCACTTATTTTTAAACAGTGTCTCTTATTTCTAGTCTGCCCTACATAGGGAAACATCCTTTCAGCATCCACCCCATTAAGTCCCCTCTGAACGATCTATGTTTCAATAAAATCACCTCATTCTTCTAAGCTCCAATGGTACAGGTCCAACCTTTCCTCATGTGATAAGACCCCTCATTCCACAAATCAGTCAAGTGAACCTTCTCTGAGCTGCATCTAATGTAATTATCTGCTTTCTAAGTAAGGAGATCAAAACAGTACACAGTAGTCAGGGTATGGCCTCACAACTGCCCTGTACAGCTATAGCAAGCAATCATTGATTAAGCTAATTCTGTGACTGTTTATAATGCCATGAAACTTTGAGTGAATGCAATGTTGTTGGGATGTCTAGTTATAATGTGAAGTTTATCATTGACTTTTGTAAGGAAGTCCTGAGTGAGTGGATAGACAAAGGTAAACCAATAGAAACTGACCGCCAGACCAAAGCAGCAGGTTGCAAAGTAGATAGAGGTGTAAGACCAGCACTGCTCCACTGAGACAGCCATGATCAAACCTTAATACAACAGCCAGCAACATTACTACACTTCAATTTTAACTCCATACGTAGGATCTGTAATAGACAAGTAAAATTTCAACTCCGTTGGAAGTACTAATCCCAAGACAGTATTTTGAACAAAAGTTTCCCCCAGTGTCCAAACCATAGTATTGCTTTTCTTGCACTACCAATGGTCTACCACTTGAGATAGTACCTCTCTTGGTCTCAGCGTTTGTCTGTTTGTGTGAGTTTGCTTTGTTTCCACGTTTTCTACATTGCAGCAGTGACCACATTTCAAAAGCGCTTGACTTGTCAGAGATAACACCGTGTGGAGCTGAAGGAACGCAGCAGGCCAGGCATTATCAGAAATCTAAAGAAGGCTCCCGACCTGAAACGCCAACTTTCCTACTCCTCTGATGCTGCCTGGCCTGCTGTGTTCCTCCAGCTCCACACGGTCTTATTTCTGACTCCAGCATTGGCAGTTCTTGCTATCTCCGCTTGATTTATCAAATGTTTAAAACATATTGACATTGTGAAAACTCTATATAGAGACAGGCTTTTCCTTCTTGGATTACCTGAACAGAATCATATACAGTACAAATATAGATTAATCAGGTGAATTTTAAACACATTCAAGGCTGGTGTTTAGTGCAAGGATAGTGCATCTTCTGCAGGAGACTGGATCTAGAGTTTGTCATAACAAAACTGAGGAACATTCGTTCAACAGTGGATAAGTATGACTTTCAGACAGACAATAGTGACCACAATAATCCCAATGTAACATCAGGTCCGAAGTGTCTATGCAATACTAATTCCCTAGAGTACCAGGTTGATAAAATTGTGCTGCCAATTTTGGGATGACAGCAATGTTTTTCACTAAAAATGTAATGTGGGAGTACACCCAATAACTAACTTGATAATAGGCAGCATGCAACTGGGCAATCATGGCCAGAAAGTCCTAGATATGATTTTGAATTACTGCTGATCCAGCTGATTTTGCTTGACAGTAAATTACACTAGGGCTCCTGAAGTGAGCAAGGTAAAATGGCAGGACATTCACTGTTTGATATTTATCAATGGTCCCAGCTGGAGAGTGTAAATCTAAATATTGTAGGTTAACTTCCTTACTCCACTATATTTTCAGATTCCTGTATCCTGAAACCACATAGTATTGCTTTTCTTGCAGTACCAATGGTCTACCACTTGAGATAGTACCTCTGTTGGTCTCGGCGTTTGTCTGTATATTTTTGAATTTGCCTTTCAAAATTCATGTAAACTTGCTGCAAAAGTAAGTAATATCAGGCAGTCTCCACATGCAACTAACAAAAGCAGAAACTGCTGGAGAAATTCAACATGTCTAATAGCATCTGTGGAGAGAAAACAAAATTAACATTTCAAGTCAATCTGAAGAAGAGTCAGTGGATTCGAAACATTAACTCTCCTTTCTCTCCACAGGATGCCAGACTTGTTGATATTTTTCTCTAGCACTTTCCATTTCTTCTTTCTTTCAGATCTCCAGTATTTACAGTTCTTTGTTTAATTTTAATCATTATATGCAAAGCGGTAACTTTTTTAAAACCAGTTTCATCATATTTGCAATAGTATCACAGACAAGCATCACAATTGGAAACACAATTAAGTCATTCAGTCTTTTGAACTCGCCCCACTATTCATCAAGATCATGGTCAATCTGTTTGCAGTCTCAAACTTACTTTGCCGTCTGCCCTCCTTGTCATTCAAAAATCAGTATCATGTTGTCGTTGTTGTTGTTGTACTAGTGACCATTGGAGGGCACCACAGTTCTATGCAGTTGACCATTTATTGGATTAAGTTTCTTCAGTTGATAATTTTCGTGAAAATGAGATCTCTTGTTTTTGTTCTCCAAGATGTTTTCATACACTTATCAAATGTCATCCTGAAGTAAACTACAAAAGAACATTGAAACAGTGATATTAAAGAAGGTACTTCCTGCTCCTAAAAATATAAGTTTTGGAAATTGAAGGAAAAAAATGAAATTTGAAAACTTTAAATCATATAGAGATTCAGTTTTCATTTCAAGTTGTTTAAACATCGTTGTCACCTTTTAGGTGTACAATGGAATGCTTTGGGCTGATGAGTATTGACAAAGAAACCCCTTTAAAAGCCAAGATAATGCAATTTGTTTCAAAAAGTGTCTTGCAAACCAAAAGACCATTCTACCACTTGTATGTGGTGTAAAGTGTAATGCACAGCTTCCTGGAGCTGATTAAACCAATTACAAGTTCTTGCTGAGCTAACGCAGTGTGGAGCTGGAGGAACACAGCAGGAAAGCTGACGTTTCAGGTTGGGAGCCGCCTTCAGATTTCTGAAGAAGGGTCCCGACCCGAAACGTCGACTTTCCTGCTTCTCTGATGCTGTCTGGTCTGCTGTGTTCCTCCAGCTCCACACTGTGTTACCTCTGACTCCAGCTTCTGCAGTTCTGAACAAGTTCTTGCTGGGTTGCTCCAATGATTTCTATTTTTATTTCAGATTTCCAGAATCCACAGTTCTGTTTTATTACCCCACAAGTTGGTGTTTCTTGTATTTGAAGAATATTTCTTCAAACTCTGCAAACCATAAATAATTATTTTTAATCAGATTGATAAAATCCAAATTCTGTCTTTGCATTTTATGAATTAAGTGGAAGTTGCTAACCATTGATATATCGAGTAATTTTGATTCTCCTTCCTCCCTTTTTTTGCTGAAGGCATCAACTTGTACTTACGGACCAGGACGTGAGAGAAAGCAGCTTGGTGCCCACCTACTTGTAGGAGCTTAGACAGCTGGAGGTAACAAAATATTTAAGTCGAATTAACATTATTGGTTTGTGGCATTTTGTGCACCTTGTGTACATAAAGAGACTTGGCCTTTTACACTTCCACTATTTACTCTTGTCATTCAGCACCCCCATGTGGAACATTCCAGAATTACAGGCAGCAGACAGGCAAGCGTGTCTCCACTACATTTGGAGTTGGGAATAGACCATCTTACTGTTGAAGAAAAATATGAATGACTGCAGGTTTATTTATGAGTCGCCTTGAAAAATGGATTATAGCTGATGAAATTGGCTCCTATGAGTCTTACATTATGAATAGCAAGGTCCCAGTAACAGTAATGCCGTAAGATTTTTGTTCATTGTACTAATTACGGTGTTGGAGAAAACTCCCCCTCTCTTCAAGATAGCATGATGACATATTTTACACTCAACCTAGAAACAAAATGGGACACAGTTTAACCCTTCATCTAAAAGATGTACCTCCAACAGTGTAACACAGTCAGTGCTGCACTCCATGATTGGCGTAGATTCTGTGCTCAAGTTGGTGGAATTGAGTTTTAAATCATAATTTTCTGAATCAGTTCCAAGTGCTGCCACTGAACCACAGATAACACAGCTTTAAACAATAAGGTGCTGAAGGTCTATATTATTACTTGTGTTCAGACTGTTGTAGTTGATTATAGTTAGTGGTTATATTCTGTGTGTGACTGTAGCTGTGAGATATAACACTGTTTCCAATATTGATCCTTCAAAGGGATTGTGCTCATCAGAGGACAGCCCTTTTTCTTGCTTTAGGTTCTTATCTCTGTCACTTTCAGTTGTTCCCTTGCACTACTCTCCCTGCCCTTCCCTATTTCATACTATTTGCTATGCATCAGTCACTGAGGACAAAATGATAGGAGTCTTTAGGTCATTGAAATGGTGCTCTGTAATTAGTGTCATAGTGTCATACAGTATGGAAATAGACACTTTGATCCAACCAGTCCATGCCGAACATAATCCCAAATTAAACTAGTCCCACCTGTCTGCTCCTGGCCCATATGCCTTCAAACCTTTCCTATTCATATATCCATCCAAATGTCTTTTAAACGTTGTAATTGCACCCACATCCAGTGCTTCTTCAGGACACTCATTTCATATTCAAACCACTGTGTTTTTAAAAAAAAAAAAAAATTGCCTCGTCTTTTTTAAATCCCTCTCCTCTCTCCTTAAAAATGTGTCCTCTAGCCTTGAAATTCCCCATCTTGGGGAAAAGACAACTACCATCAACGCTGTTTATACCTCATTATTTTATAAACTTCTATCAGGTCACCTCTCGACCTCCTACGTTCCAGTAATAAAAGTCCCAGCCTATCCAGCCTTTCCTTATAACTCAAACCTTCCATACTCAGCAACATCCTGGTAAATCTGTTCTGAACCTTCCCCAGCTTGATAATATCTTTCCTATAACTGGGCAACCAGAACTGGACACACTATTCCAGAAGAGGCCTCACCAATGTCCTGTGCAACCTCAACATAATGTCCCAACTTGTGAACTCAAAGGAGTGAGCAATGAAGGCAAGTGTGCTAAAACACTTTTTTAACCATCCTGTCTATATGTGATGCAAACTGTAAAATATTATGTACATGCACCCCCAGGTCCCTCTGTTCTACAGCACTACCCAAGGCCCTACCATTAATCGTATCAGCCCTACCTGACCTTGCATTTATCCGTATTGAGCTCCATCTGCCATTTTTCAGCCCATTGACCCACTTGATCAAGATCCCTTTGTAATCTTAGAAAACCTTCTTCACTGCCTACAATGCCACCAATTTTGGTGTTATCCACAAACTTACTAACCATACCTCTATATTCTCATCCAAATAATTAATATAAATGACAAACAAAAGAGGACCCAAAACCAATCTCTGTGGAACACCATTGGTCACAGGCCTCTAGTCAAAAAAGCAACCTTCCACAATTACTCTCTGTCTCCTGCCATTAGGCCAATTATGTATCCAATTGGTAAGCTCCCCCGAATCCCATGTGACCTAACTTTACTAATTTGTCTACCATGAGGAACCTTGTCAAGGGCTTTATTAAAATCCAAATAAACAACGTCTACTGCTCTGCCATCATTAACCTTTTTGGTAACTTCCTCAGAAAACTCAATTAAGTTTGTGAGACATGACTTTCCATACACAAAACGATGCTGACGATCCCTAATCAATTTTTGCCTCTGTAAATGTCCATAAATCCTATATTTATAATCACCTCCAATAATTTACCCACAACCAAAGTCAGACTCACAGGGTTCTCCTTACAACCTTTCTTAAACAAAAGTACAGCATTAGCCACCCTCCAGTCATCAGGCACCTCACCTGTAGTTATAGATGAATTCAAATATTTCTGCAAGGAGTCTCGTAATTTCCTCCCTTACTTCCCACAACATTCTGGAATACATTAGATCAGTTCATGGAGATTTATCCACCTTTACATTCTCTAAGACCTTCCGAACTTCCTCTTCTGCAATGTGAACTCTTTTTAAAACATCAAAGTTTACTTCTTTGCATTCTCTAGACTCTGTTTCTTTCACCCCAGTAAAAACTGGCACGAAATATTCGTTTAGTATCTCTCCTATCTCCTGGGGTTCAACACAAAGACGACCTCCTTGATCTTTAAGAAGCCCTCTCTCTAGTTGACCTCTTCCTCTTCATGTATTTGTAGAATCTCTTTGGATTATCCTTAACCTTATCTGCCAATGCTATCTCATATCCGCTCTTTGCCTTCCTGATTTCTCTCTCAAGAATTGCCCCACACTCTTTATATTGATTAAGAGATTCAATTGAACCAAGTTGTCTATATCTATAAAAAGATTCTCTTTTATTCTTGAGTAGAACATCAATATCTTTACTCACCCATTGTTCTTTAATCATACCAGCCTTACCCTTCACTCTAACAGGAACAAAATGCCTCTGAACTCTTGAAGTTGATAGCAATATAAGATTAGGTGCTGATGAATTTCTGATGGTGGTCTGGTGAAACACCTAGTAAGATGATTTCCACAGTTTGTTGTCCAAGACAGATTTCTGTATAAATGTGTTGACAGATTTGCGACAAATAATGAACAAATTTCCTCTTAGATGCATTTTCTGGCTTGCCTTAATACCCACCAAATAGGTTCCAAATTGGTAGCATGCAGAGTCCTGCACAACTGAGTCAGCTGGGTTCTGTTGAAAGGCACCTGAAGCAGTAACCCTTGTTTCTGTCTTTCCACAGTTGCTGCCTGACCTGATGAGTATTTCCTGGATTTTATCTTACTATTTCAACTGGAGAAGTTGCTTTTGTATAAAGTACGTCAAACCGAATAGGGCAGGACTTGACATTTAGGTCGTCAAGCTCATAATGAGTGTAATTGATGTTGATCATGGATGCTGCCCAGTCCACATGCTGAGGACAATATGAAGGCAACATATTTAATATTTTCTGTGGACTTGTGTTTGGAAGATTATGGATACCTGGATTTTTAAAGAGATTAATAAAGGACTGTGGAACATCTTTTTAATGAGGTTTCTAACTTGACAAGCACATGGTTCCAAGTACATGTTGGGCTTGATTTCTTGGACTCACTTCAGAGAAAACACATGACAACTTTTGCTGCTTTCTGTTTAAAAATATTTTGTAAGCTCAGAGGTGATTTCATTTGGGGAAATGTTCTGAAAGGGAGGAGATGCTCAGTTCATACCTCTTGCTTTGTGCTATATCCTGATTTGTCCCCTTGGAGTGTGACTGGAAGCTTTGGCAATACTGTATTTCCTGACCAGGCTGTGTCTACCAAGACCCCAGAAATATTTACTTATGTTGGTGATACCTGTCTACCATAATGCCAGACTTTCACCATCTAAGAATTTCATACCCTTATTCTTTTTGCCTTCGTGAACTGAAACTGATTGACAAAAAGTATTTATTTTCTCAAAATGAATCTTTGTAGAGAGAAATCTTTGTTTTTCCCTCTTTTCCTAGTGGAAATGGTTCTATGTTTGTGTGTGTGTTTGGCATTACTGAGAGGGTAAATATTTATTTTTCATATTACGACCTTGTGTTAACTAATTTTCATCTTTGTGCATATGTGCACATATACTTGGGGAGTTGAATTCGAGATCAATTTTGGACTTAAACAGCTGTTGGACCAGGTTTTAAATAATCTAACATTTCCACGGTAGCTACCAGGGTGAGTTGTGTAGCTGCCCCAGGTTTCTGATACTAATTCAGAGTCAAGTTAAATTTGGGCAGGAGAGAATCAGCATTTTGGTTATTTAATTCTCACGTATGTCTCACATCAAGAATTCCAGAGAAGATCTGGATGCTAAATCAAAACTAATGTGAAAAATGTAAATGGCTGTTTAACACATTAATTTGTTTAAGTTTTGTTTTACTTCTACCTATTGTATATCATGTGCTTTAACATATGACTCACGTGAGGTTATATGCATTTAAAATAAAATTGAAGAATGCATTGTGGATCTGAAACATCATAAGATAACAAATATAAATTTTATATTCTGAAGTGTGGAAAAATGTTTGCAGAGTAGTTGAATTGCTGATAATGTGTTTTCACCAACCTTTATATTTTTTTAATCTATTGTGAATTAATTGATGTTGTATTTTTCTGCAATCTTGGCAGAGCTTAGGAATATTTTTTGCTTGCTTATCTTTTCTTTGGGAATAGCATAAAGCTGTCGGTGGCTCATTTTATTTATGTCCGTCAAAAGTCATTAGTAATGCATCTACTACGCTCCTTATTTGTTGGCTGCCTTTGAACCTGATTCCCTAAGGACTAAAACCAATATCTCTTTTTAAACCTGCATATTACTGTAGGCACCGAACAGTTCTTTCTTTATGTTAATTGACAGATTACATGTAACGAAACAATATCCTCTTGAACTACTGTGAAAAAATTGTAATATACATTTTGACAGAGTTAATGTATTTCAGATCACAATGGAAGCAGAAGAACTGATGTTTGATTTATTTTAATCTGTGTTCCTATGCTCTGGACTATTTTCCATATATTTAAACAACATTTCAATAAATTTTGATATATATTCCCTGTGTCAATATATCTTTTCTGTTACACCAATATATGTATTTAATTTAGATGCCTAATATTCTCTTTTCAATTTAAAATAGTGGTGTTTAATGTAGAATTAATTTCAAAGAATTGTAAAATTCTAGAGGAATTGAAGCTGATACATTTCAATATATATTATTGAAGAGATTTGTAGCTTCTTCTCATTTTCAGAGAAGTGGCACTCTTATTTTAAAACCTGATTAACACTTTCAGGGAGATTACCCACTCCATAGGTGGCAAAAAGTTGGCATACTTACAAAAATGCAAACCTGAAGCTAAAAGCGCAAAATACTGGAAGCATTCAGCATCTGGTGTAAGAACAACTTTGTGTGTATCCTTCCATCAAAACTGAGGAAAATGCACTATTTATATCAAAGCAGAGCAAAAGGGCAGTGGAACATGTTGGCACCTGAGGTGGGAAGGCTCATTATAATGACCATGCTTAAAAGAAAATAAGATGGTTAAATTCTTGATTCAGGTGTTAACATTAGACAACAGGAAGAAGCATATTTAAAGGTACAGATCCAAAAGCATGGGAACAGCTGAAGCAAACATGCAAGATGGTGATCAGTTAGGGTTAATCCTAACTCTCTACCTGCTCACATTGGGTGTGACTTTGACTATGTTTTAGGTCTTAACCAGTGGTGGATATGGGACATAGGTTTATCAGTTGTTTTTTAACAGAAGTGGAAAGTAGGTCACTGAAGAAGACTCCCTGTGCTGCTTTTCCAGCTACATCTAGGAACCCATGTATTCTCTAGGAAGTGATGTTTGTAGTTAATTGTTAAACTTGGGCAATGTTATCCCATTAGTACCAATGAATAAATGATGATTTTGAACCACCAAAATCTGTTCAGCTATGGAACCTGTCATCTAAACATGAACATGAGTACATGTGTAGGGAAACGCCTTGAATGTGACTAGATTTTAAAGACTGAAGGTTAACTGTTGTTAAATATAGAAACACAATTTTAAGAGAACTGTCAATGACATTTATACAGGTAATTGGGAAGGAAGGATCCCAATCAAAAGAGACTGAAAACATCTTCCACAATACAATGCACAGCATTAGTGGCTTTTTGCTGTGGATGCATAGGATCTCGAACTGCACCTTCTTCTTAAAGATCTTTTCAGTATCTCTGCTTGTTCGCACATTAAAAACCAAAAAGATACGAAAAGATCACCTGCTCCATCAATCTATACCAGTTGATCATGTTGCACGTGGGGAGATGGTGGCATGGTATTAATGTGATGGACCAGTAATCCAGTGACCAATGCTTATGCTTTTGGGGCATGGTATTGTGTTATGTCTCCCAGTTTGTGTGGTAATACATGTTCAAAAGATGCAGTGATGATATAATGAGCATGTCATAGCATATGACCTAACTGCATCAATATCTCCGGTGCCATTTAAGTAGGTCACTTGCAGCATGCCATTACTGATTGAAGCGTGCTACTCCTTGTAGCAAAATAGCTTTGTGTTATCCCAAATGCTGAAGTGCCTGGGATTATAATAATTGTAAGCATCAGTCAATGTCTGTTGGAACCTTCAGTATCAAGTCATTTGCACGCTAGTTTCTTATATTATGAGGGTTAAAATAAGTATTGCTGCATCAGGTGACGATACCCTGCATGAAGCAAAACACACGTTACATGGGTTCAAATCCCATCATGGTGCCTGGTGGAAGTATTTGATTAATGAATCTGAGATATTAGTCTCTAATGGTGACTATGAAATTGTCAATGATTATTATTAAAAAGAAAACCCATCTGGTTCATTAAAGTTTGTTAGGGAAAGAAGTCTGCCATCCTTTCCTGGTCTGGCTCCAAACTACAGACCAATGTGATTGACTGTCACCTGTCCCCTGCAGTGGTTTACGAAGTCACTTTATAAAAGGACATTTACAGATGGACAATAAATGCTGACCTTGCCAGTGATGCCCACAACTCTGAAGAGTAATGAAATTAACCAGCCCACAAAATAATCCCCATTCACCCTCTTTTCCAGCCATCAACCAATTGCAAAATACCTTGGGTTAGAAGTTTCCTTTCCATTAAACAATGTCTAGAAACTACAGTGACTGATTTGTAATGGAATCACATTAATGTTACGTAAAGGTAGGTGCAATTACAACATTTAAAGGACATTTGGATAGGTACATGGATAGGAAAGGTTGAGAGGGATATGAGCCAAACACAGGCAAGTGGGGCTAGTTCAGTTTAGAAAACCTGGTCAGCATGGACGAGTTGAGCTGAATGGCATGTTTCTGTGCTATGGGAATCTAACTCCCTCTGATTGCAGTGAATTTGTATTCACTTCGTAAAAGAACACAGAACAGAGTCCTATCAGACTTGAAATGTTAACTCTTTCTCTCCTCGCATATATTGCCAGACCTGTTGAGTTTCTTCAGTGGTTTCTGTTCTTTTATTTCTGATTTCCAGCATCCACGGTGTTCTGTTTTTATATGGAAAAGGAGGACTGTTTGATAACCAAATCCTGTAGCCTGGTGATCTTTCATCTATCCAGCTCAATAAAACATAGTCACATGGATTCAGAGTAATCATTTACCTTCTCAGAGTTTTACAACAGAAAAGGAGGCAATTCAGTCCATTGTTCCTGCACTATTGACCTAGTGTAGATCTCCTGCTTTTTGCCCATATTCTTACACGCTAGATAATTATTTGAATTGAAATAATGCCCTCTCAAATGCCTCAACTACTTCTCAGATACTGAGGCAGCCCACATCCAATTGCAGCAAGACCTGGGTAATATCCAGACTTGGTCTGACAAGTGTCAAATAACATTTGCGGTACCCAAATGCCAGGCAATGACTGTCTCCAATAAGAGACAATCTAATGACCATCCATTGACATTCAATAGCATTACCATCACTGAATCTCCCACTATCTACATGCTGGGAGTTATCATTGACCAGATACTGAACTGGATTTGCCACATAAATACTGGCTACAACAGCAGGTTAGGAATACTGCGTCGAGTAACTCACGTTCTAACACCCCAAGGCCTGTCCACCAAATACCATCTGGGCACAAATCAGGAGTGTGATGGAATACTCCCCACTTGTCTCCAACAACACTAAAGAAGCTTGACATCATCCAGAACAAAATAACCTGTTTGATTGATACCACATCCACTCCTTCCACCAGCAAAGCTTAGTAGCGGCAGTGTGTACCATCCTCAAGATGCACTGCAGAAATTTGCCAAATATCCTTAGACAGCACCATCCAAAGCTCCGACCACTTTCATCCAGAAGGAGAAGGGCAGCAGATACACAGGAACGCCACCATCTGCAAGTTCCACTCCAAGTCACTTACCATCCTGCCTTGGAAATATTGTTCCTTCACAGTTGCTGGGTCAAAAACCTGGAATTCCTTCCCTCCAGGACGTGGACTGTAACAGTTCAAGA